TTGCGTCGACACCGGAACTAGTGATAGGGAGTGAAGTAGTTGAGCGTGTCGACCGCTTCACTTATCTCGGAAGTCTCATCAGCCCTTGTGGTTTGGTGTGTGACGAAATCTCAGCACGGATACAAAAGGCTCGACTAGCTTTTGCCAACTTGCGTCATTTGTGGCGTAGGCGAGATATCCGTCTATCAACCAAAGGACGTGTTTACTGCGCAGCAGTTCGTTCCGTCCTACTTTATGGCAGTGAAACATGGCCAGTAAGAGTAGAGGATATTCGTAGGTTACTAGTATTTGATCATAGGTGTCTTCGAAACATTGCTCGTATATCCTGGGACCACCGAGTAAGTAATGCAGTTGTTATGAAACGGGTACTGGGTAAGGATGGCAAATCAATTGAGGAAGTAGTGAAACTTAATCAGTTGAGATGGCTGGGACATGTGTTGCGCATGCCCGACCACCGACTGCCACGACGTGCTATGTTTTATGGTATAGGAGTAGGTTGGGAGAAAGCTAGGGGCGGCCAGACCAAAACATGGCAGAAATCCATGAATTCACTGACAAGTGGACTGAGTCATGTTGTTAGGTGTAGACTACCTGGTTGGGGACCGCGAGATGATAGTAACCGATGGTTAGAGACCTTGAATGACATGGCTCAAAATCGTTTGCAATGGCGCAGGTGCATCCACTCTTTGTGTTCTCAAACTCTAATCTTCTGAATTCTTCATGTCCTTTATTTTCTTTCCCAATTTATTCCACTGGACTATACTCCTTTAATAACATCATCAAACCCTAATGTTCCCTGTCACTACTTATACTTTCACTACTCTACCACTACGGGATTTGAATCGATAACTGAATCTCTGTGCTAATGTGGTATGGCAACTCGAACTGATGTACGTACGTACGAAGTTCCACGTTGTTACTGACTGACTGATATTTATTTGGTGCCTCCTTGTACCAAAGTCTATGTGTTAAAATAAATAAAATAATAAATAATCCTTCGTACCAACGTATATGTGCTTAAATAAGTAAATATTGACAGGGGTGTTTTTTTCACAGACTTATGAAGTACCAGAGGTTGGGTTCAAAATGTGTTGGAAAATAACTACCCACAAAATGGTCGTGTTTAATCGACCTAGAACAGTTATCCTTTGAACTGTATGGTCGTTTTTAGGTTGTCTAAGCCAGTCCGGTTTCTTTCCTAGTTTTAAGTGTTTGTAGCTAAAAAAATATCAGTCACCCGCATGCTCTTGCATTCTGGTTTGATGTTAGGTTGTAACTCTTCCGTATTTTTATAATCTCTTCACACAGTTGTTTGTATTTTCAATTACCTGCTCCAATAATTAATCAGTTAGCTTAAGTCGCTACAGATATTGGATTATGCATTGTTACGTTTAAACTGAGTTTATGAGAATAGGTAAATCTAATTGCTCAATGCACAAACTACACATATTACTTTGTCTGTACTTTTTATGCAACTTACATTGTAAGTTAATCTTTGTCTCGTGTATAAATCTCACTATGTATTAATAAGTTTGTATATTACTGACTACATTCATGAATTTATTTTTTATCAATAGGCAATGGATGATTCAAACATAGCACCGTTAACTACAGGTGAATTACAATGGTTAGCAAACTTAGAAAGTGATGATCAATTTGGACTTCGTGAAGCGTTTATAAATTGTTGCTTAAATGATGGAGATTCTGAAGCAAAAGCTTGTCTTATTTCTGTTTGTAATCAGCTAAAGTTACCGAAAATTTTGGAATCAGTCACGACAGATGGTTAAAAGTCAAAATGAAACGTTTTAAAACACATATTCAGAGCTAAAAAAACGAGTGGGAAATAAAGAAAAATTTAACACCAACAGATTTTATAAGATCAAAACATCAGCCAAACTTAATTTGCCTTTGTAGATTTTCTATTATTTGATTAAAAAACTCGTAACACTAATTGTTGCGTTGTTAGCCTTTAATGTCAAGTCAGAAAAAATCAGTCAGTCAGCTACATTGTAGGACCAGACACATATGCATCAGTCCAAGTTGCCATACCTCATTAACACAACAAAATGAACACCGAATTCATAGAAGTAGTTACTTCAGTGGTGGTAATATGTAGAAGAAAGATTGCATATAAGGATATAGTACAGGAAGAAAAAATTAGTTTGTAGAAAAAAAGATAAAAGCAATTTTAATCTCATAGTTTAAAGGAGGACAAACAGTGTATACACCGACGCCATTGTGATCGATTCTGAACCATGTCACACAGAGTCGCCAACGATTGGTTACGGTAGCCACTCTGAACTCAACCAAGTAGTGTGCATCTACCAACATGGCTCAGATTAGAAGTTAGTGACTTTGTGGACTGATGCCACGTTTTGGTTTGACCACCCCTAACTTTCTCCCAACTATCCCCAACACTAGTCAGCATTGCTCGTCGTGGTAATCGGTGTTCAGGCATGCGTAACACGTGGCCCAAGCATCTCAGTCGATGAAGATTCACAACCTCACCGAGTGATTTACCATCATTCTCTAGTACACTGTGTCTAACCTCACCATTACTTATCCGATGATGCCAGCAGATGTGAGCAATATTTCTAAAACATCTGTAGTCAAATACTAGTAGCTTACGAGTATTTTCTACTCTTAGTGGCCACGTTTCGCAGGTGTAAAGTAGAACAGAACGAACTGCCGCACAGTACACTCGTCCTTTAATTGATAGACGGATATCTCACCTTCATCATAGGTGATGTAAGTTTGTTTACTAATATAAAGTTATGTCATTACTTGGTAAGTATTTTCAATTAACAAATAAATACACTGACAAGTTAACTATGGGAAATTTAACTGAGAAAATCTGATACTCAATATCTCATTTGGTTTTTATAGTCAGTCTTCAAACTGTTTTTGACATTGATTCAGCAATGGTTGTGCCTGATCAATTGGTATGGACATATTCCAAATTAACCCCATAGTTAATTTGGTGTAACTGGCCAGAAGGTTTCAGAACAGAAAATCGATATTGGAAGCCTCTCTTTGTTCAATTCAAAGAAAAAGATAAACGTTATTGATGGGTGCAGATTAATTTCATCGCTCAAGCACGAAACAAATCTTAATAAAACAGTACATTTATTTGACAATCATTTTTAACTAGATAAAGGTCATGTATAGGCAGTTTAGAATGTATGGTAGAATACTGAATGAAAGACTTCACATCCTAGTGCAGATCGCTATTTTATAATAATAAATGTTCAGGTTTGAAGGAATTACTCATTCTGTTAGCACGTATATGTCGTAAGTTTTTCTTAGGACAAAATAGTAGTGTGTCTAGCTAAATCTTTCTTCAGATAGAAGACTGTCGATATAAATGTAACTGATATTCATGGAATCGTTTACTGGTAACTTTTATTGTCATTTAAATAAGATTTATCCACAAATGATGTACAGTTAAGTAATCTATACTTGTAAGTAGCATTCATTCAGCTTTGATTAGCAATAGTAAGAATATTAAATGTCTTACATTACTACTTGACAGGTTGAAATGTTTTGGATTAGATAATATCGATTGTACTGTTATCTGTTGGTAAGGGAAAAATGTCTCCTTTTTAACTGATACTGCCGCTTAACAATTATTGTATATGCGATCAATTTTCCCTTGTCTACCTGCAACATAGTTCTTCTGTTTTGAGAAAACTACACATGATTGTGTACGATTCGACCGAAATGAGAGTGAGGAACTTCTGGAAGCAGACTTATTAAAGACCCTAATAAAACTTCTACAATATCTCAACAAAATTATTTCTATGTGTATTTATTTTTTAGAGATCGGTAGTTAGATTCTTAGTGAACCATAGACTAGTCAACTCAAATTAGATTAATCAATAACTTGTCACAAGAAACCAATGACGTGAAAATAAAAATTTTATGGTTACCGACGCTAATTCAATCCTAACATTTGTTATATGGAGTCTTGGTTCTGGAAACAACTATTATTTAATACTCATTGATTTTCTTTGCTAATTTACCAGCTAGTGCGAATTTACTATTAAAATCATTCAAAGTTTTGTGAAAGAAACTAGATCAAGGGTACATTAACTTACAGAAATGTAATGTTAAAATACTGAAAATAAATATCGTTTTCTCCTAATGTGTTGTTCCGACTAGTTTTGTGGTATACTGATTACTATGAATCGACTATACATAAGTTATGGCAGATCGTCAACTGAATTCCATGAAAATTTTATACTGCACTCATCAGATAGAACCTTATGAAAATATAATCACACTTGTACGTTATATAATTAGTCCATGCAATTGTGGTTATGCAAATTAGGAGTAGGTTGTCATTGGTTAATTAACTGACTCAAAGTCCAACCCTGTTAAAAGATAATTTCTGAGTAAAACGTTTTAACAAGACATTGTTTAAACATAACCACGAGTCAGGAATGTGGATCAGTAGTTAAATTATGAAGATCATTTTGAGCAATGTCAACCATACTTCAACAAAAGTAAACATTCTGTTGACTTAATTGAGCCCCGAAAATTCATTGACGTATCGTTATTTCAATAGGACATAAATTTTACAGAATCGATTAAGCTTGCATGTATCACTTTTACGGAAAAATTTAAAATGTTTACAGAACCAATGATCTTTGTCTTGAATTAGTGTCAGGGTCTTTTGTTTTATTTAGTTCATTTTAAAGTAAGACAGTAGATCAACATGAACGAAGTAACAATGTTTTGTTACTTTAGAAACATATTCAATTGCAAATGAATATCAAATTATGTAATATTTTATTTGGCTTATTAAAGAAACACACCTAAAATTAACTGAATACTACGTTTACTTATGAAATAATCTACATTATAAAAAAAAGAGAGAACAAGCCATATTAATGAAATATATTTTAATTTATCGGTTACTATACCAACTGATCATTTATAATACAAATTTAGTTTCAACAAATAACTTTCTAAAATGATTTCATTATTTTTGTTGTTAGATTACTTCTTTTAAATATAATTCCATAAATATTGTATCATTATGACCCATTGATTGTTCGTTAGTATTTTGCAGAACATGTTTGTTTTTACTGGGATCAAAAAGATGATAGATTATCGAGATCCTCTTATATACGCATATGACTTTTTCTTATGTAGTAAAACTAACCAATAAGATATGATCCAATTACTTGATTTCAATTGGTTAATTTCACTCACTCAATTTATGGCGTTTCTATAAACGGATGCATATAATTACTAGTACATATTTATCATTTGTTCTATCTTAATAAATCAAACAATTATTATTTTGGTCGGTGAAAAGAACATACAATATGACTGGATCTACGAAACCGGATCTTGATCGTTTAGGTTATTTTAGAGAAATGTCTTATGTTACAATTGGAGATCCATATACTGATCTAGGAAAATTCGTTTTCAATGAAGATTCTTGTAAAGGTAGACAACTATATGGGATTAGTACGAAATCAAAATGTGGTTTAAACGATGGATATTTTAGTCCATATAATCGATTATTTATTGGTGAATCATATACAGATATGACAAAAATCAAGCATGAAGAACGTTTGAAAGAAAAAATTAAAGAAGGTGCAAAAGCATTTCTTCCATCTTCTGGTCCTAAACAACTTATTGGATCTGGAAATTATTGGGGTACATTTTCAGAACCAATTCCATATTTCCGTAATGAATTTATTAAATCAACTAAATCATCTGATGGAAAAAATTTTTACACCTCACCATCTAAAAAAGGTGCTGGATCTAGTTATCCTAATGTAACAATTGGAAAATTACCTGCTTATGTTTCAGAACCATATTTAGATAATATAAATAAAACTAACAAAGATAATAAAAATGCAATACTAAGTCGTAAAAACTTTATTCAATGTGGAAATATTGACTACTTTGGTCCAGATCCATATAAACAACAACAAGGTATTGTCAAAAAACCTTTAAAACCTATAACAATACAAACGAAAAGAATTACAATTCCATTTAGACCATCTAATCCAGGTAAAGAACCAGGTGGTTACAAAGCTGGTACATTTAATCCATTTCCTAATTATATATCTGAACCATATATTGATCCTTATAAACTAATAAATTCACATAGAGATGCTAAAGTGTTTATTCCATCATCTGGACCTAAATCTGCTCGATTTGATTCAATATTAACAAGAAATGTAAATAAAACTATAAATTCATCTAATTATGACACTGTTAAATCTGTAATTTATTCATGAAATATTTAAGAAAGAAAATATTGTGATTTATGAATGTTAAATGTATGTTCCAAAATAATTTGTCTTCTGTCGACTTATGACAAATATACATCATTACTGTTAAGTATACGGAAACATATTTAAAAATTCAAAAAATGTAGTTTATAATGACTTTTTTAAAACAATCTATTCTCTATCGAATTACATATGATTGGTGATTGAATGCATTAAAACTTGAAATTAGTTAAAAGCTGTATTATTCGATCTGGTAGAGTACAGACTATCGGTTTTAATCTAATTTCTCATACATCGGTATTTTCATATTATATATTAGGGATTTATCACACAGATGGATTCGTTAAATAATAATTGTATGCCAGTCTGTTTAAGTATCGATTACAAGAATTTTAGACTTCAAAAGACAGTGTTTTAAATTCCACCAACTATAAATGATAATACAGAAAATGAAGATTGGTAACGAAGAGTTAGATTTTATAATGGATTGTAACATCTTAGAAACATTAGTTTATGTCTGTCTATTAGCTAATATTAGTTCTATTTAGTTTCCTCATCAAATTGTTACATCTATTAAGGCATAAGAAATATTCGAAAGTAATAGAAATTCGAATTAACTGTTGATTATCAACTTGTAGTTAGCATTGGTTAAAATATTATCATAGTATTTCGATGGAGGTTTGTTCTCTCAACTAGATGGTTTGTTCGTGGATCTTTCATCGTTCCTCTAAACGACATCATCAGTACTAATTCCAAGTAGAAGTTTGTGTTGATGATATCGTTCAAAATATGGTGTGTGCTACTTATCTCGACATGAGTAGTATATGACGTTAGTCGTGAACAGAATGTCTGGCAGCAGAGAGACAAGAGGATCGAACAGTAAAGAATGGAAACAAAATGCAATTTGTATGAAAATACAAGAACGATGAAGTTTGAGTCATTTTCAGACAATTGATGGACATTTTGCAAATTAAGCATTTACTATATGATTGTTAGATCTTATTAATATGTTCTGTAATTGCCTGTCTAGTGCTTTCCAATGTTTCCCGCTGGTGTTTTTGTTCGCTGCAAAAAGAATGATGAAAGCTCCCCAACTAAACCATCTAGCTCAGAGAACAAAACTTTATCAAAATCGTCCACCTGAGATTACAAATCTTCTTCACCATCTCATTATCATAGCATATTTGATAGTAGTAATAATTCAACCTTGTTGTTTCGCATTGAAATCAACTTATCATTTGAATAGATGGTTTTTCGATGAAGATTTATGCTTATAATGCACTTTTGTTAGTTGACAAATTATAAGGTGAATAAATCCAGACAATATTTAACAATCTAACCTAATGCACAATTTCTAGTGATATATGGTTTGTTTTGAAAAAAGCCTTTTTAAATTTGTAATTGGTTTGTTGCTAACGAGTACTACTCATTATGATGGAAGTTATTCAAATTTAATTATATTGAAAATATACTGTACACAAATTGATTCCTTGATGAGTCGACAGTCAAATTGTATTAAAATGAATGGACTCTTAAGTGAGTTAAGTATTCAACCCACATTTAGATGTAATCGGTTGAGCGTTTTGAAAAAATGTAAATCTTTGCTTGAGAGTCTTCAATAATATGTACTATAAGTAATGTACATCAGACCATTCATGTGTCTCCTACACCATTAGTATTAGTACCACTACTAGGTTGAAATCTAATGACGCTGATGACGAAAGCTCTTATCGATGTCTTTTTATAATATCAGGAATTTAATACACTAGGATGAAACAAATATCCAGTTCATTACGATCTTTATTGATTTTTGTTCTATTATAGGGCTCAGCACCGATGCGTACACACGAGCCCAACAGAAATCAAACTCAGGACATTTACGTCTTGCTACGGGTATTTAATTTCACACTACTGAGTTGAATTTCGATGGCTAACGTTTCTCACTTTATTTATTTATGATATTGTACGACTATCGTCTATTCCTATCAATTACTGTATATAAACAAAGGAGATAGTTGTGAGTGGAGGAAATATGTCTAGCCATTGATATTTCCAAAGTAACACTATTTAGTTACAAAACTACTGTATATGCCGTTCAGAAATTATATGAAGAGTTATGAGACACATTTTTGCATCACTGAATATATCTGACAAGTACCATCATCATTTACAAAAATCCTTTTCTATTTTACTTTAATTATTTGGTAAGTAATATAAATAAGTAGGCTTGTTGATAGCAATAGAAATGCTAAATTACACTGGGAACTATGATTCCTAAAGCAACAGGGAAGCTAAAAACTCTCAAATATTATTATCGAATGCCGTTATGTCACTTTAGAAATGGAGTAATAACTGAGCTAAGTTCTAAATATGACTATCATTATGTTATAAGATACGTTCATTGTAATTAAATATCAATGTTCCTATATTTACAACCGGTAGATTAGCTAGTGAAAAACTTCAAATACTTCTCAAAGTTAATCACATACTCCATCAACACATCCATTGAATATGCTGTTGTAATCCTAACTGTTAAACCTCTGATTTCCATATCTAGGTTGAAATAATTTCAATACCTTTAAAATTTCCATGTCTTTTTCAAACTCAAATCATTTCAATTAAACGTAACAGGTACAAAACAAACTTGATAATCCATTTATACTATAAATAAGCTGAATTCTTTTATTTAAAACTTTCGTCTTAGCTATGTTCATATTCCCTGTTATTATTTGCGATTTTGTAAATCAATAATTTATATTTGCTAAATGAAATCTTCATCACATGTCAGTCTTTGTAAACTTCCGATTTCCGCTTAATGGTGAATTGATATTTAATAACTACTTGATAGTTTATGGGGAAATATTAAAACATTGTCATGATATCTTGCTTGAAAACTTTTGTAAACAAAAGAATAATTGTGATTTCACTAAAATATACTTATTCCATCGATTTACAGTTTTCAGGTTGGGCTGTATTTCACTACTTACTTACTTACGCCTGTTACTCCCAATGAAGCATAGGCCTCCAACCAGCATTCTCCAACCCACTATGTCCTTGGCCTGTATTGCACTAACAAGTTATTTAAATGACCGATTCCATCCCTTAATCCTTGGATTGGGATTTTTTCTGTTTCTAAATACTGACCGATATTTACATCAATTGATCTCTTGAACTAAGTGTTAAGAAAGTATCTTTCAATATGAAAAAGAGTTATAATCATCAGTTAGTTTCAAGTAAGCGAATCGATTAAGACCAAATTGCTGTGGCTCAGAAGTCAAGATTTTTGATTCTTAACTACTAAACCGCAATTACGAACCAGCTCTACCGATTATGGTTTGTGGTAACCGAGTAGTATCACTAACCCAGAACCAAGTATACTAATCTGCATCTGAATGAATAGAATAGATAAAGAGTTGTTTAATTTTGTTCCAATACCCTTCAGAAATGTATAGCCATCATTCTACCTAGAATGAATTTTCCATTATTTTCTAGCTTTTACAGTTATTTAACTAATTTCTATTATGTAGCACTTTATTGTTGTAATTAACACAAATGAATTTTGAATAAATAAAAGTTTATAAGATGAACTTTACAAATAGTGATCTTGTACTTAAGTGTTTCACTTATCCAATTCATGGCATATCAAAATTGATTAAATAGTTGATATTTGTACTTTACGTAGTTGTTACTTTTACTTTGGATTTATAAAATTTATATATCTGAACAAAGTTTTCAAAATATATAATCATTTTTATCAATATGGGATTGTGAAGATTGTTAAGTTTTTGATTGAGATCATGAATCGATCAATGTTAGAACATCATTGAAAACATGTAAGCACTGCTGAGAAGCCTAATACTAGAACGAAACGGCTGTCCGGTGTTTCCACATTTTCAATGGTGGTCGATTACCGATCAATTCATGATCTCAATCAAAAAATAATCATTATAATTGAAAAAAACAACATTTTGGCAGAGAATAGTATATTCATGAATTTAAATGAAATCTTTGAAATAAACGTTTCGTTTTATTATTTTACTGTTCGGAATAAAATTAACATTAAATTTCTAGAAAATATATATGTAGAATAATTATTGAACAATAAATCATCTTAATATTATTGGATGGATTAAGTGTAATAGAATAATTGATTGTCATCCTAAACGATCAGAACTCCTAGAACTCTCAATTAATCTTCTGTATGGACGCTTGATATGACAGTTACTCACTCACGGAGTCGAATAATCAGGAACATAGTCAATTGATAATTAAGCGATACAAGTCAAAAAATTATGAAGATACGTATGAAATGTCCAAGTATACAATAACTGAATAGTTTTTAACCAGGTCTATGTATCCAGTAGGTACCCAGAAAAGTGGATACGATCAAACTAAAAAATTAATTATACTGAGAGCTATGAATCACTCAATAAATTAATAGTCAATAGGGAAAAAACTGTCCCTGTTCGGGAACGAAACTACCAAAAAAAGATGATAGATCCGTTTAATTCACTCCGATGATGAATATTCAAAGTATACAATAATTATGTTGAACGGAAATCAAGAATCACATTACTAATTACTTGTCAATAAAAAAAATTTTCCTAACAATTGGAAAACGAAATTTCAATTCTTTACGGATAGAAAGAAGAATAGTTGAGGATTCAGTTTCTTTGTACAGTAATCGTTGGATTATATGGTCAAGTAAAACAAAATTAACACGAACAGAGAAGACGAAACAGAATCAAATAAATGGTCAAAACCAAAAACTGAGACTAAATAATAATTACGACCTAACCAAAACATGAACATAACACGGGCAGTAAGGGGATGAAGTGACACGTAAGGACAGACAAAGAAGTAGTCATATGGAATGCATATATTAAGGGACATTCTCACACATGCATGTAAGTACATACAAAATGTTTATTACAAGTATAGCCACATAATATTAACTGCGGATATCAGGATTAGTATTAGATCGGTTACGTAACAAAAATAACACTACGTTAAACTTATCATCAGTGTAAAAAGCATCAGTGACGGTATTTTTTGAT